CAGTGGGGAGTTGTTCAAATTCCATGAGTTTGTATGCTCTGTTGTTTCTGTTGTTGAAATCCAACAGTTCATCGTGGGCTGCTAGGATATAGGGAGTCATTCAAATTTCCTCTATGTGTTTAGATTTTCTTTGTTATTAAGTATGTGGTCAATTTTGGAGAATGTTCTGTGAGGTACTGAGAAGAAATTGCATTCTTTTGTTTGGATGAAATGTTGATATCTGTTATGTCTATATGGTTCATAATGTTAGTTAACTCCAATACATCTCTTGTTTTGGCTTTGATGATCTATCATTCCTGTAGTTTGGTTATTGATATCCCCCAATATATGATTTATATTGGTATATATGGTATATGATTTAAGCTTTAGTTGTATTTCCTTTACAAATTTGGGTGCCCTTGTGATTGCCATGCAGATGTTAAGAATTGAAAACTCATCTTGTTTGAATTTCCTTTGATGAGCATGAAGGGTAAGTGTCCAATCTTTTGATTTACTTTTGTATGATGTATATTTTGTTAGATATTAAAATGGGTACCTAAGCTTGATTCTTAGGTCCACTTGTTTGGAAAACCTTTTTACAGCCTTTAATTGTGAGGAAATGTTTATCTTTGATGTTGAGGTGTGTTTATTGTATCAGCAAAAGCATCATGAAAACAGCTTGGTACTGGCACAAAAATAGACAAGCAGACCAATTGAATCAAATTGAAAACCCTGATACTAACTCACACACCTAAAAAAAACTTGATTTTTGACAAGAAGCTAAAATTATACTTTGGAAAAAAGACAATGTCTTCAACAAATGGTGCTGGGGTAACTGGATTCTGGCATGTAGAAGACTGCAGATAGATGCATGTCTATAGCCATGCATAAAACTTAAGTCCATATGGATGAAAGACCACAACAGAAATCTTGTCACACTGAACTTCTTAGAAGAGAAATTGTGAGGTATACTTTAACGAATTGGTATAGAAAGCCACTTCCTGAACGTAACACCAATAGAACAGACACTCAGATGGACAAGTAATAAATGGGACCTCCTTAAGCTGAGCAGGTTCTGTAAGGCAAAGGATACAGTCAGCAAGACAAAAAGACAGCCCACAGAATGGGATAATATATACACTAACACCATGACAGAGGGCTTGTATCCAAAATTTACAAAGAACTCAAGGACAAGATTCCAAAACACCAAAGGATCCAATTAAAAGGTGGGGTACACAACTAAATAGAGAATTCTCAATAGAGGAGTTTAAAATTGCTGAGAGACACTTGAGAAAGTGTTCAACATCCCTAGCCATCAGGGAAATGCAAATCAAAACAACTCAGATACTATCTCCTGTCAGAATGGCTAAAATTAAAAACACCAATGACAATTTATGCTGGAGAGAATGTGGAGAAAGAGGAACACTCCTCTTCTGCTGGTGGGAGTGTCAACTCATACAGTCACTTTGGAAATCAGTATGTAGGTTCCTCAGGAAAATTGGAATCAGTCTACCACAAGATCCAGCAATTCCACTCTTAGGCATATACCCAAAAGATACACATTTATACAGCAAGGACGTCTGTTTCACTATATTCATAGCGGCATTATTTGTAATAGCCCAAACCTGGAAGCAATTTAGATGCCCATTAACTAAATAATGGATAGAGAAAATGTGGTACATTTACACAATGAAGTACGACTCAGTGGAAACAAACAATGGAATCTTTAAATTTCAGGCAAATGGATGGCACTAGAAGAAACCATCCCGAGCGAGGTAACCCAGTCACAAAAAGACACGCATAGTATGTATTCAGTCATATATGGATTCTAGGCCTGAAACAGGGGAATACCAACCTACAATCTCCAGTCAGAAAGTCTAGGAAACAGGGAGGACCCTATGCACAGTAATCCAGATAAGGGGAACAGGACACAATTTTCTGAAGGAATTGAGAGCACAGGGGAAGTAGTGAGGAAGCTGGGAGAAAGAAAGGGGAGAAGAAGAGGAGATAGAAGGAGATGGGGGAGCAGAAAAGTTGAGTAGAGGGAAGAATAGAGGAGAGAAGAATGAGAGATACCATAATAGAATGAGTCATTATAGGTTTGAACAGAGATCTGATACTAGTGAGATGTCCGGAGGCCTACAAGGATGACACCAACTGGCAATCTAACCAATAGTGGAGAGGTTACCTTAAATGCCCTTCATTATAATGTTATTGATGAGTTTTTATGTGACATCCTAGAGTCTTCATCCAGTGGCTGAAGGAAGCAGAGGCAGACATCCACAGCTAAACACTGAACTGACTCCTTGGAACCCAGTTGAAGAGAGAGAGGAGTGATGAGCAAAGAGGTTATGACTCAGTGGGTGAAACTCACAGAATCAGCTCACCTGAACAAGAGGGAGCTTATAGACCCAAGACTAATATTTAGATGCCAGCATGGTACTTATCCAGATACTCCGAATATGGGTGTCACTGAGGAGGCCTCAGCATCCTTTCAGCACTCAGGCAATAAGTCAACATTTAGCCCTGTCATCCAGATGGACATTGGGAGCTCATACCACATGGAGGGATGTAGTCACTGCCTGGACAAATGGGGGAGGGCCTAGGCCCTGCACCAGTTAATATGACAGACTTTCGAGATTTCCCCCAAGAAGGGCCTCACCCTCCTTCAAGAATAGAGTGGGAATTGGAGAAGAGGTTGGGGGAGAATTGAATGGGTGTTGGAGAGAAGGATAGGGAGAGGAATCTAGGATTGACATGTGAAGCAAACTTGTTTCTAAATTAAATTAAATGAAAAAAGATAAATTTTAAAAAAGGATGGAGAAAAAGGTTGAATACTGTTTTTGAATGCATTTTGTTAGTCTGTGTCTTTTTATTGAGAATTGAATCCTTTAATATTGAGAGATATAAATGATCAATGATTGTTAAATGATGCTATTATGTTGTTGGCAGTGGTAGTGTGTGTCTGTTTGTGTGTGTTTCAATTGTTAGGGCTTTACTTGCCTGCATTTTCATGGGTGTAGTTTTTATCCATGGGTTGGAAGTTTCCTTATAGAACCTTCTATAGGAATGGATTTTTGCACACATATGTCTAAATTTGAATTTATCATGGAATATCTTGCTTTCTGGCTATGGTGATTGAAATTTACATTGGGTATAGTAATCTCGGCTGGCTCCTCTTATCTCTTAGCATCTGCAAGACATCAATTGAGGCCCTTGTGGCTTTTAGAGCATCATTTTCTAATTGGGGGAATTCTAATAGTCTATCTTTATATATTACTTGACTTATTCATTTGTAGACTTTAATATTATTTCTTTATTCTGTGTGTTTAGTGTTTGGATTAGTATTTCTTTTCTGATATTATCTATTTGTGTTTTTATGTTTCTTGTACATCTATAGATACGTCCTTTTTTAGGTTTGGAATTTTTTTCCTATGAGACAGAAGACAGGAGAAGAAGATCAAGCATCTAAGTATACAAAAGAACAATAGGAATCTGAGAACAGCTACTTTATGAATCATTTTATAGCTGGGTTACTATTCTTTATCCCATGATAAAAATCTCTACAGTAGGAAGGAGATACTGGAAGCTCTTTCACAGACAGTTTCCTACGGACCTCTGGATCAGGAAGTCTAGCATGACTTTCAGCAAAGTCTCTCTAGTCATTTCACCCAAACATTGTAAACACCCACATAATGGATGCATTTCTATGTATCTTATACCTTTATTTAGGGCTTTTTATTAGCAGACTCACCCAAGAAGATGATGTGCCCTGCTCAGGATTGTACAGGAGGAACTCTAGCTTGCTACCTCAACTATGCTTATCTAGTCACTTCTAAAAGTAGGTTACAGATTTGAAGATATTTTCCAGCTTACCTTCTGTCTGCTAATTGTTTTTAACTTTCTTTGGTTGTAGACTTATTATTCATTCATTTGCAATTTACAATAGTATAATCATAGGTAGGTGCTTATAAAAGAACTGGTCTATCCTTCTATCCCTCTTTGTTTACTTGGGAATCAGTGTTTCTCACTTAGTTTACAGCTTACCCATAGTCTAGATGGGCTGGCCTGTGAACTCCTGGGACCTTCTCTCCTTGTCTGCCAGTACTGGGATAATAGGCAGCTCTAACATCTGTCTTACCATATAGATGCTGGGGCTCCAATCTCAGGTTGTTTGGTTAGTAAATATGCAGTTTACCCACTGGGTCATACCCAATCCAAATTGTTTTCTTCCTGAAGTTAATATTTTCAATTTTTTTCTCACAGTGGCAGGGAAGAAATAGAAAGAACATTGATTGACATAATCATTTTATTTCTAGCTGCTCTTCTCTAATGCTTCTGTTAAATCTGGTTAGGAACCTCATAACACAGGCTAAGTGTGAGGACATGCAGCCATCTCATAAATTGCTTTCAGATTAAGCAGAAACATTGATATCCTAGCATTCACTAAACAAAGTTACTTAGGAAATGGAAATAAATATATATAGGTATTTGGACATGTACTGATATCTGACATGGAGTCTTAGCAGAATCTATTCGAGATATCCATAGCCATTCTATAATAGTGCATTGTATAGATTTATATTTCTGTGTTTTTGAGCTTGCATGTATCATTATGTTGCCTTTCAGTTTTCATCGTAAGTTCTATTCCTTCAAATAGAAAGCATAACACCCTGGTTCTGAAGATCCTGTAAGAACAAAGAGAGTATATAACAATAATGTAGATTATAAAATGAAGCATGGCCCAGGATCGATGTTACAGTGCTTTATCAAGATTTCATGCCACTTATTTTATTGTCATTTCTCTGTAAATCTTTTTTTTTAATTTTATTTTCCAGTTTAAATTTAGATAAGAATCAAGGTTGCTTCACAAGTCAGTTCCAGGTCCCTCTCCCATTCCCTCCCTTCCTCCCGTAAGTGTCATTCTACGTATGATATGATGGGAGATCCTAATAACTTCTCACTGAGGAAATGATAGTGAGAGAATCTCAGATCCAATGGGATCTGGAATACATAAAGAAGACTGTGCAGATAGCCTTTATTGTTATGAGAGAAGCAAAAAGTTAAAAATAAAATCCAAATTCTATTTTAGCAAAGGAACAAGGGAGGGACTTAATCATAGCCAGGAAATTCATGGGTTGCATTTTCAGAAGACAAAGACATCGGGAGTCACCGACAATTTCAGGAATCTATTGGCAGCTTGCACTAGCATGGGGATGGAGGAGTCTGTGAAGAAGAAAAGCAAGAGTCAGAACTGTGTTACAGGGGAAGAGGAGGACATTTTTTCATGAGCCTTCCTCAATTATTCCTTTCATCCCCTTCAGGCCTGACTTAGCTTCATGTCATACCCTGACTTTGCCTTTTTTCTTGTTCTGAGTCTCCTATAGTCTTTTCTGCCCACAGTAATCCAGCACCAAGGATACAATAAACATCCAAGAGTACTGGCTATATGTCTAGAATTAGTCTAACTCAGCTAAGCATCCGTATCTATGTTCCTTCCCTCTGATCAGGTTTTTCCACACATCAACTACATATTTTATCCTAATCCTGAAGAGAAAGGATTAACTGAGAGGACAGACAATGCTCAGAGATACCATAGAAGGGACAACTATTCGGACTTTTTGTACTCACCCTCTGGTACACTTATAGGTATAGCTCTGAACCAAACCTGGATAGAGGAGAGGGATTGAGGGGAAGCTGTGCTCCTACCTGCATGGTCATGAAGCCAGGCCACTGCCTTCCTTTCCAGAAGCTCCCACTCACACTCCATGTCCTTGCCATTAGCATGCAGCCAGAGCACAGCCAGCACTGTGGCCCAGGCTGAGGGGTCTTCATCCTGCAAAACAGATAGAAACATCTGTGATGCTCCAGGCAGGTCAGGAAGTAATTCAAGAAGAAAGAAACAGAGAGGTTTCCTAACTACTTTTTTTGTCTTTCCCTAATCTGCTGCTACATGGAATTCCCTGGCTCTAACTTACCATACAGATTAGCAGACCCTCAAGACAACATTCCATCACCACTTAGAAAAGAATTAAAGTTGTACATACATTGTAAACAGCATCACATTTTGCAAGATACCCCAACCACCCATTCCATGAATGATTAAACTGCACAAAGAGAAGAAATTTTGTATTTGACTTCTTTTAAGATTTGTGTTCACTAATTTTTTTTGTATCTTCACATGCCAAAAACAACCCCCCACAAAAAACAAAATTAAAAAAAGATAACAACGAATCACCATAACAAAGAATTAAAGCACATGTCAAAACTTAAATGCAAGTAATAAATAAGGTAAAAGATTTTTTTCTAAATTAGTTCTTTAGTAATGATGGATATTGGAATGTAGGTCCAATATTAGACACCACTCTTATTTCTGTGAGGGATTCTTACGTCAAGGTGGTAAGGATCCAAAAGCAAGTTGCTCAAGACTAGATGCAAAGCCCGTTCTGACTTTTAAAATGTAGCTCTTGAGTGGTCTCAGCTTAGGAGAGATGACTTATGAAAATCTACAATCCTAGCCCAAGAATGAAGCCCGTCCTGAGGTGTCCTGGGTCAGATCTTTTGCTTCACATTCTTGTGGCCACATGACTCCTCTGTGTTCAGTGTGCAGCTGTTTTCAAGTCAGTTTGTCTGTCTTCTACTCACACAGCACAGGGTTAAGAAATAAAAGCAAATCTTGAGCTTTATTCCTGCCATATAGTTTTTTTTGCCAGTGCCCTTGTTTTTCATGAAAACTTAAAACTCATGATCAGAGATTTCAGGGTATCTTGATTGTCCTATATATCACTTTTTCTTTCTGTTTTATCATCTACCATTTGATAAACTTTAATCTGTATCGTCATTAATAACAATAAGTAAACATTCAGAGCTTAGTGGCTTCAAAATTATGTTTCCATTTTGACATCAATTTCTTATTCAGTAGTATTATTTATAAGTAATCTACATTCAATCAGAAGATCTATCATTTAAAAATTTCAATATCCAATTGAAATTCAGATATCACCATGTGATATTCATTCAAATTCACTATACTTTTTAACTAGATTCAGTTAATGACCTCTTATATTCTATAGCTTGCTTCTACTTGTGGACAACGTTTCTAGCTAGTACCAAATCATACTTTCAAAAATTGTTAAAATAAATTATCATTTTTCAAGCAGTCAATGTGAAACAATTTTGATTAAATATTTCTATAGTTTCACCCTAATATTTAAGTCAGTTTGTATTTTACAGCATATGTAACTCTGTGGAGTAAAAATATACATCTCATTTGCATTCATCACAATTCATATGCTTAATAATCAGGCACAGCTAGTAGATATAGTATAAGTAGTATAAATATAGAATATGTGAACTATATTTAATAATATATCACATTTTAATAACTCAGAACTGCATTTCTTTTCCATGATTTGTCATATGTTTTATTGAAGAGATTTAAAAAATATATTATTAGAAGATCCAGGAGGTAGACTTCAAATTCTACATAAGATTTATTCCTTATTTAGCATATTTGAAAACATTAAAAAAAAGCAATACTGGGATGTTATTGGAGTCTTTGCAGACAGGGCATCCTAGAATTGAATCTAGTTCTGCACTTGGCTAGTACAGAGTATTCACGTTCTTAATGTTTGATTTCTTCATCTATATATAGCTATATAAGTAGAAGGTTCTTAATTAACTGAATTGAGGAAAAGTAAGTATATTCATACTAAGTGCTTTAAAAACTATCTTGCACAGTATGAAGATAAATTTTTTTCGTCTAAAAATATCAAGGGAAATATGATTAACACACACAGAAGAGCACTTGTTTTCCCATTGATATCCATCTATCTCAGCATGTTTTACAAGAGCTAAGCTATTAATTCTATGCTCCTTATGGTCAGACTTAAGTTGATATAATTTCATCTACTATATATTACACATTAATTTCACCTTTGCATTATCTATATTCTTATACCTCTGCTTGGTCCTGGTTTATTTCAATTCGAATTATGTTCCTACTATCATGAGACACACTCTGTTTCCCTTGAAATACTTTGCATCTCACCTTGGCAGGATTTGCAGCCTTCATGTCTTCCAAACTGGTGCCCAGGATCTTAGTCAAATCCTCATCCAGCTCCCAGGAGCCATTTGCCTTTTGGAGGGAAATCAGGTACAGAATAGCATTTTCTCCAAAAACTTCGTGAAAACCTGAATGAGATATAACATGGGAAATTATGGATCATAGCCCACCTGAAGCAGTCTCCTGATATAGGAGGCTGCAGTGAGGGTTATGCAGAATGTCCATTTAATATTTCTGATCTGTGATGGGTGACCAGTTGCATTGGCTTCTGAACACAACATCAGCAGTGTCTACTGGGGTCCAGCCCTGATGACAGGTAGACTGTGTAGAAAGAGATTGACAAGGGACTCAAAGAACAAGAAGCCACTCAATTACAGCAGGTTAGAAGGTATCAAGTGCTGTATTGTGTATTAGTTAAGCTAAACTTATTCTGACAAATATATGATGATGTCAAATCTCACATCTTTCCTGCTGCCTTAAGTAAGTCACCCAATAGGTAGAGAAAGGTCTAAGATGAAGAACATGGAATGTTATTTTATGGCTACCATAAGTCAGAGACAAAATCTGAGGTCTAATTCACCTTCATGCTCATTTTTCAAGTTGGTTTTCTTGGTGGAGGATATTGAGGTGTTCATCATGCTCATGAACTCTGTATCTCCCACAATATCATATGCTTGGCAGGCGAATAAAAGGTCACCAGCTGTAACAACAACAACCAAAAAACATTATTAAGGAAACTTTTCCAAGAAAGAATCTCCCTTAGACTGTAGAGCATGTCTTCATAACCTCTAGGGATGCTAACCATACAGTGAATCAACTGCACATAGTACATTTTTTGAGTGAAATGATGGCCTGTAACTTGAAAAATACAATTGAACAGGGGAGACTGCAACATCCTCTGTGTTATGCACCAATCAAAGATTTTAAGTGAAGATTAGAGACATCCACTTCCAATACATACTAGCCTCAGTCACTAACCACAATGCTGTATTCCAGTGTGTCCTCTTCCAATGCAGACATTCACCCTACGAACACTAATTCTACTTCCTGTTGAATCATATGGAGCAAGCACGGTTGCAGCTCACCTACAGTGCAGGAGATTCTTCCAGATATATCTTAATGTAAAAGGATCTTTTACTCTCTCACAAAGCTACTTTAATTTGCTCCTTTCAAAAGAAGCTCAACTGTGCCATAAGCATCCAGGTTCAGAAGGTTAAGTTGGCAGTTGTCTCACCCCAAGATTATTTCCTTCCTTCTCACCTGAGTTATCTTTCATATATCCTCACTGCCATCAAACATCAATTGCTTAAGTCACATTCTACCAGTACCCAAAGTACCCAAAAGCCATACCACGGGCTTCCAAAGTCACATTCTACCAGTACCCAAAGTACCCAAAAGCCATACCATGGGCTTCCAGTGCACTCCAATGTCTTCCATAAATTTGAGAATTTTTATTTTCTATGTAAGCAGACCATGCAACACCTTAATGCAAAGATCATCCCTTTTTCAGATCCAGTGACTATGACTCTAACACCCTCTCACATACCCTCAAGTCATTGGTATAATTCAGAGTTGTTTATCAGAAATATTTAATGCTATTTTTAAAATACAACCCAAATTTCTCATGTGATAACTTACAGTTTCCTGTTTGAAAACTGGTCATTACATGAACTGTGCTTTCTAAGTCATCTATTTTTCCAATATATTACCTTCATTCATCTTTATTTTTCAGTCAACCTAAATACCAATCAAGAATATTACCCCACTCATCAATATCTTCAATCACAACTATAATTTATAATCATCAGAACAATTTCAAAATCCTACAATAGAAATCAATTCAGCACTCTCCCTATTCCAATCTTCAGTTTAAGTTGATGACACTTTCAGTAAATTATTCAGAAAGTCCAGTCCTCTAATTAGTGCTCAGGCTTACTGAGTAAAGGCACCAAATACAACTGGACCCTCTGCCATGTTAGAAAATAATACTCAGTTTTGTTTGTTTTGTTTTTGTTTTTGTTTCCTATTAAACCCCTGTAACTACTACAAACATCCATGTCTTCCTTAAATACCCTCTTCTATCACTAGCATTATCAGATGCAATCTAGTAATCTGCTATATATGTGGCCACTGACTAACTATCAAGAACAGAAATTAGATTTAAGTTAAATGATTTGATAATTCAGGGTTCATAGATGCTATTGCATCATAATATATCCTGGTATTTTTCTCTACTTCTATAATAAATCTCTCTTCTAGTTGGACACAATCTACTTCTCTAGAAAATATAGGGCAAGCCATACATCAAATTTATAGAAGGATAAAAAACATGTTAAATTTAAGAAGTGGAATTAAATTAAAATTCATGAGGTTCTGAAAATGATCATTATTTATATTATGCACTTAGATATCTAAGAATCATTATAAATTAGTTTAAATTCTAATAAAACTTACCAGACCCACGATGACATACAAAAGGTGAATTTGAAAAAGTTACTGGCCTTGGAATCACCCTGTGAGCCAAAGGCCCCTGCACTGGCTGGTTGAGCTCTTTGTTTATAGCAATGAAAGCTGTGAAGGAGCTGAGGACTCCAGACTGAATGCTGATGTTCAACACATTCTCTTTTTCTCCTTTTGATGTCTCAGCAGAGCCCAAGTCCTTCATCTGAATCAGGGACTTTGCAGCCAACCTATGAATGGTGAAGCTGAAAGAAGACACTGCATAAAATTAACTTAAAGTAAATGCAAATTAAGTATCAAAGTCTCCTACAAACTAGAGACTTCAGCTGAAGGGGAATGCAGAAACGAAGAGTTAAGACTGAATGTATCATAAAATGAAGAGCTTAGAAGAAACAGCTAAGGTCACTGACAGGAATGATCGACCCATAAAGAATGGTAGAGAAAAAGAAAGGGAATTGTGGTGGTTTGAATAGGAATGAACTTCAAAGACTCAGGTGTTTAAATGCTTAGTCAATAGGGAGTGGCACTGTTAGAAGGTATGGCCTTATTCTTGTAAGTATGGCCTTGTTGGAGGAAGTGTGCTACAGTGGATATGAGCTTGGATGTCTCAGATGCTCTAGACCACGTAAAGGTGTTTTCTGCCACCTTTAGATCAAGATGAAGAACCCTCAATTCCTTCTCCAACACTGGGTCTGCCTGCATGCCACTATGTTTCCTGCCACGACAATCATGGTCTAAACATCTTTATTATAATCCAGACCCAAGTAAATGTTTTCCTTTATAAGAGTTTCAGTGGTCATTGTGTCACTTAATATGACACAGAAACCCTTACCAAGTCAGTGAGTGAAAGGAGAAAAAGAGAAGAGAAGAGAGAAGGTGGGGAAGAGTGGAGATGGAGAAGCAAAGCTGAGTTTTTACCTGGTATTTGTATTGGGTTGTAGCAAAAATGTCACCCTGTTTTCAAGACTCCTGCCTTGGAGGGTATACTTGAGGCACACTTCTCCTGAGCTCTCCACTTGCTACAAATAAGAGGAGTTCATGAGTGACAAAACAGACTCACAACCAGGAAAATGTTGAGAACTTGAGGAGCTTCTCATCTCAGTGAATTGTCACACTAAGTATCAGGTACCATGTCATGAAGGAGAGGACAGGATGCTGGCTGCCTGGCAATTGACATATCTTGCTGAAATCCCAATGAAACATCACTGTTATAAAACTACTGATATATTGTCTCACTTAGTAAAGGAATGAACAATAATTGGTACTTACAGGCATAGTCCCATTGAGTTGGGCATAGATGATTAATCTCTGACCCTTAAAGATGACAGTGTGCTCTGGAGAAATCATGCTAGCTGACAGACCAGGAGGCAAAACCCAGCTCAGAGAGAAGTCATCAACTGAACAGTTTAGAGCAAACTTCAGAGACCCAAGAGCCTGTTGGAGGAGAGAATAGCCAATCATATCTAGCCACAATGCTAAGAGAGAATTGCTGTTTTTTCTCTAATTTTATGTATGTAAAGTTACACTTCAGAGGTGTATAAGTGTAGGTGTTTGAGAGAAAATATTTAGCAAGGTGACTTCTGCAAAAGTTAGTTAGAAAAGGGATAGAACAACTTGGAGGAGAAGCTTAGAAATATGATCCAAGATGTCTTGAAGTTTCATATACTAATGAAGGAATGTGAACTTAACACACCATTGAGTCTAACACACACATACACACACACACACTTGTGTATCTTTTCTTTTGTGTGGAGAATGTATTTCTTCTCAATTACTAAGAGTACAAACTACAATCTCAGACAAAGCAGCTAAAATTTTAACCTTCTTTCTCTCTGGTATTCAAACCAAAAGTCCCAGCCTCTTTATTTGTCTTTTCTTTGGATTCCCAGCTACTATAGTCAGATGCCAGTTTTAGACATTAGAATGGTAACCATATTTAACAAGGGATAAGGTAGTATTACTAAGTGCATGGACTGAGACTGATGAAACTATGTCCTTTGCAGTAGGGTTCCTGTTGTGCCTCATAGTCACTGTGGACTTGCAACTCTGGCCACTTGGCCAGTTCTCACCTTGGTCTGCATCCTGTCCTTGTCTGTGATAAACTCTGCAGTGCCCCCAGATACCCGGGCGATGCCTTTGATTAAACTGGTGGAGGCTCCTTCTCCAATACCAAATGAGAAACATCTGTGAAATGATGAATGTTAGTGGAATTATCAGTTCACATCGGCCGCTCAAAAACTCATGAAGAGATAAGGCACTTACTTCAAAGTCAGTGTAATGCTATTCTGATTTTGTTTTCTTTTAGCCTTCAGAAATGCTTAAATCAGTGAAACTAATGTCACAATCTTGTATGGAGAAAGGCTCAATTTCATGTTGTTAATAAAGATCTATGGATCTGGATATTTACAAGATATGTTCTAATTTTTTTTTGGTTTTTCAAGACAGGGTTTGTCTGTATTGTTTTGGAGGCTGTCCTTGAACTTGCTCTGTAGACCAGGCTGGCCTCCCTTGAACTCACAGAGATCCACCTGCTTCTGCATCTTGAGTGCTGGGATTAAAGGTATGGGCCACCAATGCCTGGCTCTATTTATTTTTTATCTATGTATTTCCTCTACAAAATACATAATAGTCAAGTAAATATATGATAATATAAATAGTTTTCAAAATTTGGACAGTCAAAATTTAAGTAATCACTAACATTTTTGCCTATACATTCAGTATGTGTAGACTTTTCATGAATGTGAGTCATCAGCCACAAATCCTGTGATATTTGACCTTAGAATTAGTGTACTCAGTATGTAAGCATAAGGACCAAATTTTATATTGTAGTTTTATATCCTTTCAATAACCTATAAAGCAGTCGCTATTGGTTTTTGCAACTTCAAGTTGATTGATAAGACAAAGAGATTAGTGGTGCCATCATGCTTTTTCATGTAGATAGCCTGCAAGTGAAATACACATATAATTAAATTTTGATGTTAAAGAATTCACATACAAGGTTCAAGAAAATCACTGTGAGTTCTACTCATAGAAATACTAGACAAGGGCTGGAGAGATGGCTCAGCGGTTAAAAGCACTGACTGTTCTTCCAGAGGTCCTGAGTTCAATTCCCAGCAACCACTTGGTGGCTCACAACCACCTTGAGTGAGATCTGGTGCCCCCTGCTGGCACACAAGCAGAAGACAGCATACTAAATAAATAAAATTAAAAAAAAAGAAATACTAGACAAGATTATTAAACCAGGAAAAATTAGATACCTATAAATAATAATTTTAATAATTTATGTAAAATCAGAAAACTACCAAGACTATAGGTTCCAATGACTGCTCAGAGAATATGAAGCTAGAATCCAAGACTGGAAAATGTAGAGAAAGAAAGAGTACAGAGCCTGCATGTGCTGTTGACATGACATTTGAAGGATATGGCATGGATGGATGACTGAACAGGTAGGCAGTTTCAGAGTAGTAGGAAAACTGTGAAGTTTTGAGTTTTGCCAGTGGTAGTTATCCCTGAAATCACCTTAGAGTATTTCACAGAACAATGTAGAAATACCTAAGAGGTAGCGAGAAGTAAGAAATGATCCATCCATGAAATCCATCACTCTTTAGATGGATTCAGGCTGTATTTCTAGTCTAGGCACACATTGAAAGCAAAGAGTAGGCCTATCTTGGGAAAGTTGCCGTCTAAATACCAATAGTCCATAATACCCACGAAGTCCACTATGTCTGAAAAGCACATTGGTCATTTCTCATAACTAATTAAGAAAGAATTTCTCCATAAAGTAGGAAAAGGGCTTAATTATTTTGATGCCAGGTATGCATAGATACCCAAACTTCACTATATAAACATCATGGGATTCATTTCTGGGACCATGTTGCAGTGACTGGAGACTGCTACTTAGCTTCCCCTCCCAGCGAGAGCATACTCACCACAGATTCCTGGTCTTCCTCTCCACCCACAGGACCAGGGTCAGGACTATGACCAGGAAGAGGAGAACTACCAAAGTATTGAACTTGCTTGAACCCACCAAAAGTTAACTCTGGTCCCCTAACCATCAAGCCAGCAAGAGTACCTTTCTACACCAGCTAGAAGAAGGGATGGGAAGGAGACAATACAAAAACAAAGAAAGCAAAAGAAAAACAAATGTGATGCTGCCAGATTATAGAGACTCTACACCAGCAAGACTCTAACATCCCAATACAAAAGAAGCAAAATAGAATGACATTAAAAACAAGTTGATGAAAATGATAGAGGCCCTCAAAGAAGATATGGGAAATCCCTTAAAGAAATGGAAGAAAAACCAAACCAAAAATGAAAGAAATGGAAGAAAAAGCAAATCAAAAAATGTAAGAAATGGAAAAAGAAAACAAAAAATGCAACAAATGGAGGAAAAGACTAAGCAAAAATTGCAAGAAACATTTCAAACAGTGTGGCACACTTATGATCTCAGGATTTGAGGAGCTCAGACAAGTGGTTCAAAAGACATAGCCCCTAGGCAGTGTAGGGAAGAAAATGCTCAAAATGCCTGACCAAAAAAAGATATCGGGGACCTGGAGCATCCTTGGAACATAGCACTGGGAGGGTAAATTTAATGCCAGTCTGGACTTCATAGCATAACTGAGCCAGACTGGTTTATGGTGTGAGTATGAAGAAAGAAAGAGACAAGGGGGCAGAAGAGGGAGGCAGGAAGGGAGAGAGGATGGGAGGAGAGAAGAAATCCAGTATTTTCAAATAGCTCCTGGAATTGACATATTCACTATGCAAAGCCAATGACCAGAAGCTCAAGGGAAAATAAAGGCTTATGAATCAATTTTTGTACATATATAAATACATGGCAAATAATTTAAATACACTGCTAAATATAGATAATAATTATAGATTATCCATTTCAAAGTAGAAGAAAAAGAATTTTGAAAGGAAATATACATACTTGATAATATAAATGTGTTTAACCTTATCTATATATCTCTAAATAAATGATGTGTATGAAGCCTGATGCAGTTGTCCATGAGTGATGCAATTTTAAGTTTTTTTTATGTACCAATTAAAAATTTAAATTGTCAGCTATTTCTTACTTTAGCATAGAAGAAGGAAAAACTAATGAAAATATCTACATGGAATTATGAAATAGTTCTGAGGGATTCTGTATATTCTGCTAAATAAGCAATTAAGGGAAATAGCAGAAGCCATGGAAAGTAGGACTCTCAGAAAGAGGGAAGACATTCATATCAAAACCCTATTTTGTTGCCTTTGGAAATATAGGAACCATTAAAATTTGCAATATTTTTTTAAATTTTCCCATTATGTATGATAGCAATCAATCACATCTCTTAGTCAGGAGCCATGTACCACCTAAATGCTAAGATTTGTTTACTCCAAGTGTAGGCTACTTATAGGAATATCTTACTACAAGGTAACAAAGTAGAGGTGAGTGTAAACATTATTTTTATTCTTCTCTTATATATTGCATCTACACCCTCCACTCCATCCAGTTCTTTCCTATTCTCTCTCTCCCCCAGATCCATTCTTCCTCCATTTCCTTTCAGAAAAGAACAGGCCTCTTAGCATGGCATAACAAGATACAATAAAATTAAGTACAACTTAGGGAACATAAAAAGTTAATTTGTTACAAAGCATGAAAGAACATAAAATATGTCCTATTTGCTAAACTAATCAGTATGAGTATCTTGCAGCCTTAGACAAATTATGCAGCATCATAATAACAGAAAGTAATGCAAGAATCAGGGAGAACACATTGATAAATAGAAATATGGAAGGGAAGGAAGGACCATCACATGCTTTCTTTTGCAAACATTGAATTTACAAACCACTATGTGGATGGGAGAATCATCTCTGAGTGGGGCTATGCAGGACTCAACATTAAGTCAACAGCAGCATTGCAGGAAAAAGAGCAGGGGGAGGAGGAGGAGGACAAGAACAAGAAGGAGGTCAAGGAAAATGAGGAGGAAGACAAGAAGGAGGACAAGAGGAGCATCCAGCAATCATTTTTTACTACTTAAGTAATGATTAATTTGGGTAATCATGTGTGAAATTTAAGGCTACAGAGTAAACATTACTTGAGAGCATGTGCATACTCTTGTAAGTCAGTCTGTCATATACTGGCCTTTTTATATGTAGTCAAGTTAACATCACTTTACACATTGCTGATTCTGGAATATTTATGTTAAAAATAACATATTATCCTAACTATGAATTAAAACTAAGGATTCTATGGAAATAATTCTAATACTTCAAAATACAAAGGAACTATTCCTGCAATAGTTCCTCATGATTAACTCCTACAACGGAAACAACAGTAAACAAATGGCTATGAAGTACTTTTGTGGAAAAATTATGAAGTGTGGACTCTAGTCTGACATACTATTATATGAAAATTAAATATAATTTAATGAGTGAGGTTGTTATAGCATGACTACTTAATGGTATATCTTTGTCCATTGAAGATGGGTGCATAATTCTTTATCTTATTTTTATTGATTTCAGCTCCATATATTTACTCGGATTGTATGCACTAAGTATCATTGTCTCTATTTCTAATCACTTTCCAAACACATTGTTGAAAGCAAGCTGTGAAGATTCACATATCTAATACAAGTACTCAGGAGGCAGAAGTCGCATAAATACACGAGTTTGAGGGCTATGTATTAGACATAATGAGTTCCAGGCAAGTCGAGGTCTAAATAAGAAAAACATGACTAGGAAAAAAAGGAAGGAAGGAAGGAAAGAAGCAAGGGAGTAAAGGAGGGAAAGAGGGAAGGAGGGAGGGAGGGAGAGAGGGAGGGAGGGAGGAAAGAAATCCTGATAATGAGCAGAATGGATACTCTAGAGTACTGGAAATCAAGAATTACCAAAGAGGTGATTAATTTGTCTGGTTTAGTCCTGGAATACATTTGTGTCAATGGAACAGACACATCGGAAACAATCTGTCCTTTTGCCAATCCTCACCATGACAGCCAAAGCACTGAAATTCAGTTACAAAATAACCAGAACAACATTACCAAATATCTATGAAGAAAATGATCTTGAAGTATATTTTAGACTCTCTAAATGAAAGAAATTGTTGATGCAGGCAGGTAATCCTAGATTCTTGGAACTTAAACCAAGAAATGGGAAAGTTCAAATCCTGCCTTGGCTATAAAGAATTTAAGATAAGACTCTATCTCAAAATAAAACACAAATAGAGGTCTGGAATAGAGCTCAGTACTGCAGGTATTTTGGTTGTGTTACATTTCATCATTTCAAATTGGAAGGAAGATAGTCTAAAAGTCTGGAAACGGTTTCTCCTGAAAACTATGGCTTACTAAACAAAAACCAGCAAATGGATAACCACTTGTGAGTTGTTGGTCAAGGAGGCCTGGAAAACAAAATAGAATCATGCCATTTCTCATGGTCACCTACCTAAGAGAGATGTTAAGACCCTAATGCTGAAGCCACTACATATCTTGCTTATATGATATAGAAAAATTAAGACATACTACAAAGACTGCTGGAAGAGGAAAGACATCAATGATGTTAACCAGCTGTGATCCCTACAAAATGTAATACTATCTTCCTGGACAATATACTCAGTGATTCACTAGTTGGATGATTATTATGGGAGTACCATCTTAAATTTAGAGAAAGGGGAATTAATAACCTTCAGTTGTATACTTAAGGGTACACCCACCAGGATTCAAAGGAAAGTCCTAATCCACTAGTTACACAGATGGCACTGATTGAACAAAATTGGTCATACTATAAAACAAAAAGATATAAACCTAGGAAAAGAACAGGTAGGAAAGGGAAGACTGATGGACATGGGAGGGAGACAGGAAAGGGTGAGGGGAGAAAGTACCTAGAATGTAAATATGTGTATGTGAAACTGACAAATAACCAATGCAGACAACAAAATCCTTTTATAGGAAAGTCTAAATCATCTACATTGCTTGAATTAAGAAAAAATAAGAGGCCACATGCAAAAGAGAAACTTCGGGGAATAGAAACTGAAATGGCAATTACTTTGTGTCGGGGATGGTAGCCAATGGCTGCAATCCTAGCACTCTAGAGGCAGAGGCAGGCAGAAGGACACCCATGGAGACCAGCCTGGTCTAGTAAAAGATTTCCATACCAGTCAGGACTGCATATAAAGTCTGTCTTATAAAAACAGTCTTCATTGTTAAAACATAAGCTACAGAGTAAGAAAATTGTTTTCAGCATATTCATATTCAAAACATGAAATCAAATATATATCATTAAAAAAGAAAATCTACTAGAGAAAACAGTAATACTAGTATAGAAATTTAAAGGAATATGAAAAGAGGCTACCCATTAGCTATTAAGTATTAAAAATAGAATGAAGTACAGCTATCAGGAAAATAAAACTTTAAGTTCTGAGATACTTTGGTCCCATACACAAAACTAGCTAAATTTTGTTTTCTTTTCTTTTGATTTTTTGAGACAGGGTATCCCTGTAATGTTTTAGAAGCTGTTTTGGAACTTGCTCTGTAGACCAGGCTGGCTTCGAACTCACAGAGATCTGCCTGCCTCTGCCTCTAGAGTGCTGGGATTAAAGTCATGATCCATCAATGCCCAGCTTAAAACTGGTTAAATTTTAAGAACAAAAATACTCAAATTGTTAGGAAAGAAAGTAAGTGGGAACTTTTTGAAAAACTATGTGAATTAAATTGCTACAACTTGTAAAACTGCCATGCCATAGAAATTGTACAACTCTACTTAAATAACAGTACCTTTGGGTATGTTCATGTGACCTTGTTTTTTTTTGTGTGGAGTTGGGGTCCAGGATCCCAAGTAAATACACAGTAATATGTGCATTTACCTTACTCATATCCTCCCATATAAATAAAATCTTCAGGAGATGTCTTGTGCTATGTAATACAATCACTGCAGAGCTCAAAAAAGTCTATGGTTATGAGCAACAATATAAAATATACTGAACTACTTAGTGGGAAAACACACACTTATGAAACTTGCCTACGGTCACGTGCAGATATGTGTACATCTAAACAAACTGCTGAGATGAAGAGTAAAGTTGAGTTATACAGAGAGACTCACAGGCCACAAAACGCAGTATGATACCTAATCAAGAAGACTTCATAAAATCCACAAAAATTACACTTGATCTAGGTTTAAACTAGTGGCTGAATGAAAGAGAGTAAGAAAAAACTGATAATAGTCCAGCTCTAGACCTGTGATGGATGCAGAGTGTACACTGTGACAGGTGATCTGCCCATATAAAAATGACTTCAGTAACTTCCTATTGCAATGTGTCAATACCTATATAATGAAAACATAATTCAATATTTATCCTTCACAGCTTTGGAAAAATAAGGAACAATGACTTTGTGGCATCAGTGTTGAGTGGATAACTACTTTCTATAATCTTATGGAAATTAAAAGGGTTAACTAGTTAACTGGAAAATCCTTGAGTCTCTTTGTCCCTTAAGAAGCATGGGATCCTGTGATATGATGTGGAACAAGCCATTTATGATACTGCTTGGGGTTCAGGCAGCACAATACTCTCCTCATACCTGTGCTTCTTGCTGTTTAATTCAACTTCTTTAATGACTCTAAATGTGTCACTAACTTCTCCATCTGTGAAGACAAAAATCTGGAGAAAGTATGCATTCATTGAGATTGTGTATAGTGTAACAGAAGACAACATGGCCCTCATGGCCAACAACTATTTCTAGTCTTTGTAGTTTCTTCACATAGGGGTGGTGACCACAGTGCTCTGCTCTCACTTGCTCCATGCTGGCACAAAGACTGCAATGGAAAGAATTTCACAACCTGGAAATTTTCACACCATCCCTGTGCAACTTTCATCTTAAACTTTCGTGGTAGCACAAAAGGGGGCTGACAGACTGCCCCATGGAATAGAGGAAAAACACTGCCCATGGTCTTCTTCTCCTCACTGTATGTTAGGGGACTTAAGTTTACACACTATTAACACAGTTGTATGTGGAATCACTTGGGATCAGGTTAATGGAATATTTCACTATTTATCCATCCAAAGCTCACCTGTAAGGGATGGCCAGGAATGGAGGGTCGCTTGTAAATGTCGAGGAGTGGTGTCAAGATTTCAGTGCCCCCAAGGTCTGCTTTCAGATCTTTCACTCTTTTCACTGCCTTTTCCATTGTTTCCTGAGTGTACTTCACACTCTCCCTTAGAGAAACAAGCATGTCTAGTCACATGGCAGTAGCACACATTGTTATTCCTATCACAAAAATTACTATCACAAAAACTGCTGTTCAAAACCCCAATGCACAGGACTACTCTGCACTAGTCAGATTAAAAGTGAAGACCCTTCTTTAAAGTACATTCTTTCACATTCCATGGTCTTTGAAGAAACTTACGGAAAGAATTTTTCATAGGAAGATCCAAATCCATAGATGTTGAAATAACAACCCATAGGCAAACTCTTCAGCAACAGCAGCAGAGTTTCCTGAAGGTGAGAGAAGACGAGGAGATGGACTGAGAGAGAGCTCTACACAACATACGTACTCCAGTCTAGTAACCAATGGTATAAAAAGCCGTCATCTCATGATGTATTTCAAGACTGAGATCAGAGTGGCCATGCTGGTTATTAATCAGATGGAGAATGCACTTGAAGCTACAAATAGGCCCTACTCATGTCCTTCCAAACCATTCAAACCTGGCACTACTGAGGAATGCAGAATCTGTCTTTACCTTGGCAGCCTCTATGCGAGACTGAGAATCATTACGGTAGCTCAAGCCGGATCCCATACTTCCAGAGCGGTCCACGAGGAACACAAATTCTCCACAGGCCTTTGACCCCTCCACTTCTGGGAGATCTGGATAGAAGCTCAGCATTGCAGAAGGAGCACCCATCAAGCTATCTGTACAGAAAGGAGAAAACCCCTGTAAGGTTCAAGGAAACACTGGTGTCCTGGAGTTCCCAAGACCCAGTTATTACTTTGATAGAGAACTGAAAAACTCAAATACAAGACCCCCTGAATGTGAGTGTCAGTGAGGAGGCCTAGGTAATCTATTGAGCCTTGGGCAGTATATCAGTACCCATCCCGAGTATACACACGGACTTTGGACTCCCATCCAACAATGTGAGGTGCACTCTCACCCTGAACTCTTGGGGGGAGGGTCTAGGCCCTGCCCTATATGAAATGACAGACTATGGACATCCCCACGGAGGGCCTCACCCTTCCTGGGGAAATGAGGGGATAATGGGGGCGTTGGGGGGAGGGCACGGGAGGAGGGGAGGGAAAGGGAGAGGGACCTGGAACTGACTTGTGAAGCAACCTTGTTTATTATGTAAATTTAAACTGAAAAATAAATAAATAAATAAGTAAATAAAAATTCGGAAAAAAAAATAAAACACCTTGTTTTTACTTTTTGTGCTATGTGCACAGAAGTAAATGTGAATTGTCAACATAAAAGAGAAGCAGAACAGAGAAGAGAGGAAGTGAAATAGGGTAGGAGTTAACAGACAATAACACAGAAGTACCTGTTTGTGCAATTTTATGTATCTAAACAATTGAATAAACACATCATCTTATCAGATTCCAGCATGAGTTAAAGACACTTCTAAGATTACTAACAGAGGAAAATCTCTTCGTGTCTTATAAATGGGAAAGTGATCACATGGGTCACTGATTTTGTCTTCAATTGAACACTTGGGGGAAAATGATGCTCATATGTTTAATGCTTAAATGACAAATTCGTTTTTGTGACTGGGTTACCTCACTCAGGATGGTTTCTTCCAGTGCTATCCATTTACCTGCGAATTTCAAGATTCCATTTCTTTTTTCTGCTGAGTAATACTCCATTGTGTAAATGTACCACATTTTCTCTATCCACTATTCAGTTGAGGGGCATCTAGGTTGCTTCCAGGTTCTGGCTATTACAAATAATGCTGCTATGAACATAGTGGAGCAGATGCCCTTGTTGTATGAATCTGCCTCCTTTGGATATATGCCTAAGAGTGGAATTGCTGGGTCTTGTGGTAGATTGATTCCCATTTTCCTGAGGAATCTCCATACTGCTTCCCAAAGTGGCTGTACGAGTTGGCACTCCCACCAGCAGTGGAGTAGTGTTCCCCTCTCTCCACATCCTTTCCAGCATAGATTGTCTTCGGTGTTTTTGATTTTAGCCATTCTGACAGGAGTAAGATGGTTTCTCAGAGTTGTTTTTATTTGCATTTCCCTGATGGCTAAGGATGTTGACCACTTTCCTAAGTGTCTCTTGGCCATTTTAGCCTCCTCTATTGAGAATTCTCTGTTTAGTTCTGTACCCCACCTTTTGATTGGATCCTTTGGTGTTTTGGAGACTTGCTTCTTGTGTTCTTTGTAAATTTTGGAGATTAGCCCTCTGTCAGATGTGGGGTCAGTGAATATCTTTTCCCATTCTGTGGACTGCCTTTCTGTCTTGTTGACTGTGTCCTTTGCCTTATAGAAGCTTTTTAGTTTCATGAGGTCCCATTTGTTAATTGTCGATCTCAGTGTCTGTGCCACTGGAGTTATGTTCAGGAAGTGGTCTCCTGTACCAACTTGTTGAAGAGTATCTCCCACTTTCTCTTCTAAAAGTTTCAGTGTGGCTGGATGTATGTTGAGATCTTTGATCCATTTGGACTTAAGTTTTGTACAAGGCAATAAACATGGATCTATCTGCAGCCTTCTGCATACCAGTACCCAGTTATGCCAGCACCATTTGTTGAAGATGCTTTCTTTTTTTTCCATTGTATAGTTTTAGATACTTTCTCAAAAATCAAGTGTTCATAGGTGTGTGGGTTAAACATGGTATGTACTCACTCATGTATGGTTTTAAACATGGATCAGGAGAGTGTCAGTCTGCACTTCCACTGACAGAGAGTCTGGGAAACAGGAAAGAACCTAAAAGATATACATGGTACCCAAGAGAAGAGAAATGAGGCAAGATCCTCTGAATAGATGGGAAACCAAGATGGGGGGAGGGGAACCTGGGAAATAGAGAGGGGGAGAAGTGGAAGAGAGAGTAGGACATGGAGGAACAGGAAGGTCAACTGGGGGTGGTAGGATAGGGGGAAGAGGTAATCATAGGTTAGAAGACAGATCAGGCACCATTGTGACTTCTAGTGATCTAAATGGATGATACCAGTTGGCAAGCTAAGCAATAGTGTAGAGACACCTTGAATGCCTATTCCTGATAGTGAACTTGATGTCTATAACCATCCTGGAGCCTTCATCCAGAGACTGATGGAAGCAGAGGCAAACACCCACAGTTAAATACTGAAAAGAACCCAAGGAACCCAGCGACAGAGAGAGAGGAGCGATGAGCAAATTGGCAAAGAATGGGCTGGCAAAACCAACAGAGACAGCTGATCTTAACAGGGGGGAGTGCTCTTGGACCCCAGACCAACAGCTGGGAGGCCAGCATGGGACCGATCCAGACCCCCTGAATGTGAGAGTCAATGAGGAGGCCTGGGCTACCTATTGGGGCCCTGAGCAGTGGATCAGTGTTTATCCCTGGAATACAAACAGACATCGTGTGTCCATAACACAAAGAGGGTTGCTCTCTCTGCCTGGACTCTTAGGGAAGTGCCTGGACCCTACCCTGAATGAAATGACAGACTCTAGATATCCTCTATGCAGAAGGAATTGGCAATAGGGTGGGAGGATGGGGGGGATAGTGGGGGGGTGCTGGAGGAGGAGAGGGAGAGGGAACTGGTATTGACATGTAAAACAAGCTATTTAAAATAAAAAAATGTTAAAAAAATAAATGAGAAATTCCAAGAGCAGGTTACTCAGGAAAGTTGCCTTAGAAAATTGGGTAAAAACTTTATAAATACGAACCAGATCATGATCTTTAGAGACACAGCTTATGTAACAGTAGCATTTTTTATATGTAAAGTCTATTTTTTCCCACCCTGAAAGACAGGTAGTTATCATGGCACTAGCACAATTCTGAGAAGGCAGAAGACCATGAAATTGGTAGAAATGGGTGTCCACACAATTTAGAACAAGGTCCTGTAGGTAACGCTCAACTCTACATATATGGTGTCTACTAGTTTTTTCCAACCAATTCAAGTGATTGCACTTTCATAAATCAGAGCTTCCTTGTTCATAAATAAGCACTTCCACTTTTTAACCTCAGCTTCCTTTTCTCACATATAAAGGTCATTATTCCTGCTATAGGGTTATTGTAAGGTTAGGTGACACAATATGCTTACTGAATTCAGGATAGGGCTTAACTTACACTGAGCTGTTAATTACAATTTTACACATCATTCTTTTAAATTTTTGTGTGATTATACATTCTAAAAGTAACTTATCATTTAGTTCATGCATTTCAGTGAGCTAAGCTGCATCTTAAGCTTCCCTTGTGCTTATGATGCATATGTGGCCAGGAAGTCATCTAGAAAAATATGTGCCCTGGGAAACAGGAACTAGGAATCACAGATGGAAGTAATTACCAAGACTGAGATATGACCATGTCCCGTGATAGCCTACAAATCTGGTCATAGAAACGAGATGAGAAAATCTTCATGGTTCAAGGAAATGCCACAGAAAGGGAGAAACTGAGACCTCACTTATTATATATTAAGTCTGAGTTTGACTATTTCATGACACTCAAAAAGAGTTTCAAGAAATGAACAACAAATACAGAGTGTAGAGCAACAGGGAGATGAGGAAGTTACTAGAAACACAGGGAAACTAGGAATCCCTTTAGTGACCTCCGTGACTAGACAGTGAGGGAAGAAGAAAAAGTCCCTACTTAGGGTTCAATATGAAGTCCCCTTTGTTAAATATTGATAATGTTATATTGCTGGGGGTTAGGTGAAGTCCTCACAGTGCTTACAGTTCCAGCAGCAAAGCCCAAGCCCAGATGTCACACTGTGAATGATTGGCCCACAAGGAAATGAATAGTTGTAGTGTCCTTCTTGGGTTGGGTGATGATCCCTGCAACCAAGTGCAGAATGGGCCAGAAAAGTCAACTAAAGCAAAACTCGCAAGCAAACTGTGCAGCTTTTTAAAAAGTTAAGTATACATATAAGGAAATGTTTTAAATGAGAATCACTAGATATACATAAGAAACACAACTTGATAGAAAGCTAAGTTTAGTCTAAGAAAAATCCAACTGGGCTACAAAGTGTGTGTGCTGGGTTCTTGTGATTGTTTCAAAGAACAATTTCTACAGGACATGGGAGGCCTGAAACTACTTCTGTGTTAAATTTGGCCACTATTAGCCATAAGACAAGAAAGTAAGAACTGGCAGCAAGATTATATTCAGTTGAAATAAAACATATTTACTTAAAGTGAAATTATTATTCATGTAGAAAAATTCAGTTTGAATATTGCCTAGAATAAAATAAAATACATTTGTTTTCCTAATACAACTACTATTTTATCGTCCTTTTAGGAATTAAAATTACTTTTCCTTTCCCATTATTTAGAGACTATCTAAATTTACCAGTTTTTTAATGTACATTATTGTAATAATGACATCATAACTCACCATATAACTGATGACACATTACATGACACATAGTGACTACGTTACATGTTTTCATCATTTACTAATATTGGATACCATTATAATATCAGCCAATATAATCTGGTTATTATATAGACATTTAGATTTATTTCAGAAGAAATGTTATAAATATTAGAATGGCAGTTCAAATTCTTTCAAAACAGTTGAAACAAACTGATTTATTTCAACATATCTGACAGTGTAAAGTTATATTTGGAAATCACTGATCCTATGAAAGGAGAAGTAGTTACTGCATAGTTTTTATTTGGCATTTTGGTAAGACCAGTCATTGCCATATGCTATTAACAGGCTGCACATTTTCTTGTGGATTATTTGATCATATTTTGACTCTAATTATCTACTAATCCATGTAAATTAGCCTATATGGCATATTCACCTGTTTACCTATTAAGCCTTGTCCTTGTTCCATGTGTAAGTGAAAGGTCATACACTGATCCTGGATAGAGAATTGAAAATCAGTGCTACCTGAGAGTTACATCTTAGAAAGGGACCATAGTGGGGAATAGGAAGTACCTGGCTTCATGTCCTGCATTCCCATCTCCACAGTTACACTGGGGCTGTGCACTTCACTGTAGTAAATCAGGAGTTCCACATCTCGGTCAAACTTCTGTCCTTCAGCCAAGGAAACCTGAGGAGGAGACCAGCAGAGTGGCAATGTTAGAACTGTCACTGATTGCTCCTGAGATAACTTCAGAGTTCAGGGTCACAGGCTTCTTCCATCAAGCCACAATCAGAGATTCAGAAAAGAATGTATGAAAAAAGGGTCTGCACTTTACCTGGAGTAGAGGAGGTAGATAGTGTACATTTCCAAGCATGAGCAGAAAAAATAAGGGGGATGTAGAAAGAATGAATGATGACCAAGTCAACAATGAAGACAGAGGGGACTGACAATAGTGTTGTCTTACTATTCACCTGAGCAGAAGTCTTGTCATTAGCAAGGTACTGGATAGGACTCAAGGAGCAGTTGGATTGGACCCTCTCAATGCCATGCTGGGAAGTGATGGTGGCAACCATGTTGAGTGTGTAGGGCAGGTCCTCCAAAGGGACTATGGGAGCCTTTATATTTAAAAAACTGCCCGCTGACTGTTCTATAGAAAAAAGTACAGTACTTCTATTTTCTGTGGGAACACAAGCATTATTTGGTGTATCTCCTCAGACATTCTACTACTGGTTTTCAAAAGCAGAAATTACTTACCAGAGAGCTGATATCTTGGATTCAAGATTGCTGGGAGCACATAGCGCAGGGCACCATCTGTTTCCAGAGGCAGTTCCTGTACATACTTCAGGGTGACTCCCACCTTAGTCCCAGGCGGGAGGTTCCCAATATTGCAAGAAAAGACATCCCTGGAGTAGTCATCCTCTTCCAATAAGTAGGCTTGGTGGCCCTGGGAGAGGGCATCCTCATAGTTGCTATGGGCCTGGAGCAAGGGCAGGGAGGTTTGAAGCAAAATCACATGAGAAAGTGCTCAACATCCTTAGCTCTCAGGGAAATGCAAATCAAAGAAACTCTGAAATAGTATCTCATTCCTGTCAGAATGGCTAGAATCAAAAACATCAATGACTTTGCTGGAGAGAGGGGAACCCTCCTCCACTGCTGATGGGAGTCCAAACTCATACACCCACTTTAGAGACTGGTATGGAGATTGTTCAGGATAATTGGAATCAGTCTACCACTAGAACTAGCAATTCCACTCTGAGGCATACACCAAAAATGCTCCTTCATACAACATGGACATCTTTTCCAATATGTTCATAGCATCATTATTCATAGTAGTCAGAACCTGAAAGCAACCTAGGTGCTCTTCAGTTGAAGAGTGGATAGAGAGTATTACTTAGCGGAAAAAAAAACAGTGGAATCCTGAAAATTGTAAGCAAATGGATGTCACTAGAAGAAACCATACTGAGTGAGGTAACCCAGTCACAAAAAGACAAACATGGTATGTACTCACTCAAATATGGATTTTAGGCATGAATCAGGGGTGTGCCAGCCTACAATCCCACTGTCAGAGAGTCTGGGAAACAGGGAGGACACTAAGAGAGAAGAGGAGACATGGCAGGATTTCCTGAGGGTAATAGGAGCATGGGAGGATGTGAGAGGGAGCTGGGCAAAACAGAGGGGTTGAAGAGGAGGGTAGAGGAGTATATGGGGGAGCAAAATGGTTGAGTTGGGGAAGGAATAGTGGAGAGCAGTGTGAGAGATACTATAATAGAGGTAGCCACTATAGGTTGTAGGAGAGATATGGCACTAGTGAGGTTTCCAGAGACCTACAAGAATGACACCAACTGGTCATCTGACCAATAGCAGGGAGACTACTTTAAATTCCCTTCCCTGATAGTGGAACTGATGACTACCTTGTATGCCATCCTAGAGCCTCCATCCAGTGACTGACAGAAGCAGAGGCAGACACCAACAGCCAAACACTGAACTGAACTCCTGGAAACCAGTTGCAGAGAGGGAGGAGCAATGAGCAAAGGGGTCAAGACCAGGCTGGTGAAACCCACAGAATGAGCAGACACGAACAAGGGGGAGCTCATGCACTCCTGACTGACAGCTGAGAGGCCAGCATGAGACTGATCCAGACCTCTGAATGTGGTTGTCAGTGAGGGGTCTCGTCATTCTTTGTGGCCTGTGGCAATAGATCAGTATTTATCCCTGGCATCCAAATGGACTTTGTGAGCCCATACCACATGGAGGGATGCTCTCTCACCCTGGAAACATGGGAGAGGGCCTAACCCCTGCCCAGGGATGATATGACAGACTTTGTAGATCCCCCATGAGGGGCGTCACCTTCCCTGGAGAGGGGAGCTTGGTGGGGGAGCAGGGGAGGAGGTGGAGGAGGAGAGTGAGAGGGATCTGGGATTGACATATGAAGCAAGCTTGTTTCTAATTTACATTAAAAAGAGGTTAAAAAAGAAATCACATAAATTCAAGAAAAAAAGGACTGTTTAAAGGGTGTATCATAGATCCTGTGAACTTCAAAATTATTCTCATAGCTTCTACTTGATTCCTTCTACCTTATTTATTTTAGGCAAATAGTAAGTAGAAGTGAATGAAAGAAGGAACAGTCAACATCAGCACTCATTGTTTATAAAGATAAAAGTAGAATTCAATATAAAGTAAGAAGAGAAGGGATAATGTAATCATCATTCAGACCTGCATCTTCTCCTGCAATTCTGCCACAATTTTCTTCCCATCCACCAAGGCTTCAAAGCTGTAGACAGCAGAGTCTTCATCCAAAGGGAACACAAAGATTGCCTCTACTGGGACTCCTTCCTCATTCTCATAATTTAAGGTTGCAGACACACCAGCCACAAAGTCATGGATGGATAAAGTTACTGAGATGCTCTTCAGTGGTACTGGGGAAGATATGAGTGTCTAGGAGATCAACAAACTTTACTACAGTGATAACTTAGATGAGGAGTCGTGCTGGGTACAATGACCACATAGTAAGAGTAGTAAGTCAGGCTTACCTGGCTCCATGTCACCAGTGATTAGACCACAGTGACGCTCCATGGTGACAGTACGTTTCTGTGGAAATGATACATCATTAAGCGGTCCATATTAGAAATTATACCATCAATAACTGCAGCTATTGCAGCAGCAGTTTCAAATTCTTAGTGTGTGAATAAGTGTATATGAAAGGATTAGATACGCCAGTGGTGACACTCCTGAATTGTGCTGCTCAGTTGGTTAAGCTGTAAGTGTCCATTCAACTAGATTTCTCTAAAATACCTTCAAATGCTTCAAACACTGTTCTACATTTACAAAGGGTGTTGAATGAACTGCTCACAGGGACTTGAATAGGTCCCATAACTAAACCTCAGCATTCTCCATCCATAATAAGAACTATTATAATATTTTATTTACTTTTTGTTATAGGTAAGACTGTATGTATGTCTGTGCATCACATGCAGTAATATACTCTTACACATAAATGTTAGACAAAGTATAGGATGTTGAATTCACTGAGACTAGATTTACAGACAGTTCTGAGTTGCCATGTAGGACCTGTAACTTGCACTCTGATCCTCCAGAAGAGAAAACAGAGCTCTTAAATACTGAACCACCTCTTCAACCGCAATTCCCAGGTCTCCTCCTGAATACCTGTGAGATTCAAATGGCATCCAACATTATATTCCTCTTACTTAATCACTTACCTTTAATAATTAGTATTGAAATTATCCACAGTTTTCCTTTGTATATTTATTTTCAAGATATTGCAACATGACTCACTACTGGTCCAATGCAGACAGTAAATAAGTGACTGTAATCTGCTTAGCTCTAAGTGACCATTGAGATCATCTTTTTTTGCCTCCTAACACCTACAATATTGCAACCAATGCTCAGAGAACAGCGGGAAGTATCAGAGAATTTCTCAGAGGCCAAGGTCGCAGAGAACTATTGTTAATCAGTCTTTTTCCCATGATAGAGCCATTGTAGTTATGATCTCAGAGTACGTGCTGTTACCTGCACAAGACATGCACCATCAAACCAGTCAGTATTTCAGCACATATAGTTCAATACCTACCTGAGGAGGTTTGTGTTTGTAATCTCTTAGCAGTGGGACAGTCGTTTTTTTCTTTAGGGATTTGATCCCTGGTACGTTTCCCATATTCCTGTTGGCGACCCTGCACCTATGCACACATTGTCACTGCTATTGGAGTCAGTAGGTTAAGAAAAATAAAATAATATGCTTTTGGAAGAGGGACCTTTTAGTGGGCAGGATAAGGTAGAAAATGAGACTCAAGGTGATATAATCAAATGTATTACACACACCTATAAATTTTTCAAAAGATTAATTGACGATATACATTTTAAAAGACTTTCTCAGGTATAAAAGTGATATATGTACAATATTTTCTCTTTTAAAACAGGCATTCCTAAATATGTTTTATAAATTATGATTGTGTACAATCTTACACATATTATGAAGACAGAGATGGATTGATTTTTCTAAGTTATAATTAAGACGATTATTTTTTTCACAGAGTGTAGAGATTGGACTAATCTCAGTCATGGTCCCAAATAAACCTGGAAGCTGTTCTGGAGCTTTCTAAACCTGAGTACTTGCTAGTTTGCCTCTCTCTGTTGTCACTGTATGTGACCACATTGCTTAACAAAAACAAGTGTGGTTTCCCTGGAAATTAATCCTAAGGACTCACAGTGACACAACTGGGAACACACATCCTGTTTCCTTGTTCAGTTCCCCTAGAAGCCCAGCCTTCTCTTTCAGATCTACAAGCTAAAAACCCTCTTGAAGGATCAGCTTTCCATCCCTGTGCAACCCACATCAGCAATTCTGAAGTCTATGGAGGGCTGTTGCTAGGTCCTTCAGGCTAATGTTAATGACCATTTGGAACTCTCAGACTGGGGTTTTAGTTCAGTGCAAAAGAACTTCCCAGCTTGTGAAAAATCCCGAGTTTCTTGTACAACCCTAGACTTGGTGGAAGGCTTCGGATATCTCCTTAGTTTCCCTGGAAACCACCTCTCTGGTATCAGTTGGTGTTCTCTATACAATTTGCATCTGTCACACAAATCTATAAAATAATGGGCTATTTTCTACACCTCCTGTTTTCAGCTATTGGAAAAGTCCGACAGCATTAGAATGACTCAGGTCTGGGCAGCAGCACAAAGGTAGCAGCTAAGCAAGGAGGAGAAGAACAGCAAACACTAGGAAGGACTTTCCCTGGGAGCAGGTAGAGGAGCCTGGAGCAGGAGGAGAAGAATTTCTACTGACAGCTGCAGGAAGCTTAGAGCAGGAAGCTTCAGGAAGCTTAGAGACTCACCCAGGAGCAGCTCAGCTGAAGGAGGGACTGTGTCTGGCAGCAGAGATCACAGGCTGGCAGTGGCCACTGCAGGAGAGAGGAAAACTGGTTCCCTTACAATGAACATTAATTTCCTGATTTCAACCTCAGCACATATTTATTTCAATGAATGTTTCACCCTCTCCTGATCATTCCTTTGTCTGCAGTTTGTGGCAAGTGTTCAAAGGCCTTGTTGAAAAGACTGGCTCCAGGGTGACTAAAGTTACAGCCTTAAAGTAGATGCAGCTATAGAGCTAAAAGTCATGTCAGTTAATAGCAGTTCAATGGCAGGCGGGGAGCAGGGTGGGTCCTCAGGCTATACCCTGATTCTTACAGCTTCAGGGAGAGGGAGAATCGTGCTTCAAGCCATGAAAAGTGATTGCAGTGTGGGATGAAGAAAAATAGATACTTAATCGGTAGACTCTGTAAGACATTCAGTGCCGGATGTTTACCAAAGATACAGTTTCAATCTCTTAGATTAATTTAGAGAAGGATTTCCGGTCTGCAATGGATCAGGGTGTATTGAGAATGAAAGCTCCATTTCCTTAGGACAAACTTATGTAGAACTGAGAAGAAAAAACAAAAATAAAAAGCAACAACTAAAACCTATTTTGTGAGCTACAGAGTGAGACGAGGCAGGAAGTGTGTGTGTGTGTGTGTGAGAGAGAGAGAGAGAGAGAGAGAGAGAGAGAGAGAGAGAGAGAGAGAGAGAGAGAGAGAGAGAGAGAGAGAGAGAGAGAAATGAACCTGAAATAGAGATCTTTTATGGACTATTAACCTAGAAAAATCTTCAGGCATCACATGCCAGGATGAATTTCCATGGATACCATCCCAAGATTTCTACTAAAAGGCACTTACAAATTTTTGTGGTGTTGGCTAGCATAAGAGACTCTTACCCGTTAGATTCTCCTCAGGCAGCCCAGTTTTCATCTCCTTCCTCAAGTGCCCTGGGCTTATAGCAGTTGTAAAAGAAAGTGAAAGCAGCTACAGTCAAACTTCCCATTAGATTCTCTCCCTCTAGGGACCAGCTATAAAGTTACAATTGTATGAGGAAGGAATGGACTCAATGAAGTATTGAATTTCTGCTTGTGTCTTGGAGAGTGTTTTGTTTAAAAATTAGAGCAATGGCTAGTTTTTCCCCCTGCATGTTCCAACCAGTGAAACAATGAAGACAGTCAAAGGCCCAGGATTTGTTTTTCAAGCTCGAATGCTGCAACTGTACTGTCTAAAATTGTTATAAAACTCTGTTCAGCTTCTAAACAAGCTTGCTCAATAAAAGCATCCTCTCTGCTAAATCTAACAGAAAAATTCTGAGCATTACATTAAAGCATTGGCTTTGTTCTATAGGTTCTACCTGGAGACAGGATACACAGTTCTGCTAACAAATACTTTTCCTCCTGAAGTGTATGTCCTGGAATCTATAAAATTATTATAAATTTACAAATTTATAATTATCTCCTGAACTATTTCAAGGTGTGACAGATCAAAATTTATATGAAGCTTACACATGTATTTGCAAATATATAACAAATACCAGTGTCTTCACAGTTTCACTTTTATGAACAATTGAATTTTTTTCTCACTTGCCAAACTGGTTGTAAAAGAGAATGTGTTTGTGTAGGGATCATTTCCTGTGTTGTTCCCCCTCCACATTGTAGCTGATCTCTGTTTTCTGCAGTATCTGGGTAGCAACGTCAGATGCTGCCAAGGCTGGCAGAGCTCATTCTCTGGTCTGATGGAGTCAAAGCCCAAGACTTGAAGTTGGCTGCAGAGCAGATGTGAAGGCTTGCTTCAAAGTCAGGGAACCAAATAGCACATCTAGGATGCTGCTCTCTGATAATTATATTTTTAAAATACCCAAAAGTATATGGACTCTTAAAGTTACTAAAACATCAATTAATTTTAGTTAAATGTTCACTTATTATTATGTTTAAATAGGAAGAGATTGACCCATTTCCTCTAAAATATTCAGCAAATTAAATAATCAAGTATTGGATAGAGAAACATGCAATTTATTCTTTACCAACATACCTGGCAGTGAAACTGAGTGCAACACAGCAGTGCCCTGGATTTCTTTTTTTAAATAAATCTATTTATTTTACATATCTTCCACAGTTTCTCCTGCCTCCATGGCTCCAGGACTTCCTCCCCACCCCAACCTATGTGTTTCCACCCCTCAACCCTCTCCCCTGCTTCTGTTTCGGAAAGTGCAGTTCTCCCTGACTATCACCAAAATATGTCATATCAATTTTCAATAAGACTAAGCACTGCTTCATGTATTAAGGCTGAAGAAGGTGACCCTGTATGAGGAGTAGGGTCACAATATCCAGTAAAGGATTGACTGAGAGCTCTTGCATCTACTGTTAGGAATTCCACAAGAAGATCAAGATACCCTACTGTGAAATAATATTTTGAGGTATGTTGCACTTGTTTATGCCACGGAATATTACTTTAACTGTGTAAAGATTGAAGAACCAAAACTCTAGATCAACCATTCCCCCAGCCTTAGCTCCTAGAGACCTTGTTGTATGCACAGGCCAGAGCCAAAACTGAACACAAAGAAACTGCAAATCCCTGTAACCTGCTAGATACTTGAATCATTGGGACTCTTTGACCACAAAAGAAACTCCCCTGTAGTCTCCAGGAAATTCAGTTCTGAAAATTATTGGTAAAATAGGCCATAGAAATCACAGAATGTTCCCTCCTAGCACCAAACTATGAGAAAAATGGGTCCACAGCTATTACACACCAAAAACATGACTTTGAAAATTTTCTTGATTGTATTCCAAATGTCAACCAATCAGAAACCAACCCATACCTACTGATGGAGGCTTCTTCGTCAGGTTGCTAGACTCAGTCCCTCCCAGAGTACGATAGAACAATCAATAAACCGTGTGCATTTATTTGCATGGGTGGTCTGTCTCCCTGGTCTCTTTGGGGATCATTGTAACTTGGGAACAACATTTGTGGACTCATCCAGGATCCCCAGAGACCCTCCCGACCACAGACTCCAGGAGATTTTCATCATAGCTAGGTAAGTTAGATTGTTCTATGTTAATTTTTCTTTTTCTCTCACTGGCATCTCTGACTCAAACTCTGTGCAGGTCACAATTACGTAGGTGGAGGCGCTATTAGGTAGACCTGGAGGAAACAGGAGACGTTCCTCTTCCTCATAAGGACAGAGCCCATCGTGGGCCATCCCATTGGGATTCCTGGATCCTAGCTGTTTTTCTGAAAGTTCTGAGGATCATGAGCCCCTTGAGGGCCTTCATTCAATTCTTGGTTTTTTGGCCTGATAGAGCCTGACCAAAACCTACCCTCTGAATTCTACAGAACTCTGATAATCTGTCTTGTGCCTTTCTGTCAGACTGTTGTGTTTGTCTCTTTTCTGTTTGTTTTTCTGTTGACAGCTGCCATCAAGACTAAAAATGGATACAGCTCCATCCTCACCCCTTGACTTGACTTTGGCCCACCAGGGCAATGTTAGAGCAACTGCCCATAACAACAATGTTAACATCAAAAAGGACAAATGGGTTACTTTCTGTTTCTTTGAGTGGCCTAGATTTAATGTTGGATGGCTATCTGGATGGTCTTTTCATTTAGATCTCATTTCCAGTTTGAAGAGATTGTTTTTGGGTCCTGAACAGGATATACTGATCAAATCCCCTACATAGTCACTTGGCAGGGACTCATTAATCAAATAGATGGGCCCCTTCCCATGGTTAAGCCATTTCTTCCCCCATCTGCTCCCTCTGCTCCCCCTCCATCCTCTGTTCTCTCTGGCCTCCTAGCCTCACAGATTTTTTCCCCATAAAGAAGAAAGTGGGTAATCCCATTCTCCAGGGAGGAACAGAGGAGGCTGATAATTTATCCCCCCACTCTCTTCCACCTCCTCTAACTGGACCCCCACAGGCACCACTCCACGCAGACAATCATCCACCCACACAATCTGGCTCTATAATGCCAGACCCCCCTGAAATGATGTACCAATGGCTGGCTCAGGAAACCAGAAGTTGGAGCAGCGCAACCCCACAAACCCTGTCACTTTACCCTGTGAGTCTCCCTGATGAGACAGGGAACCAGCCCTTTCACTACTGGCCATTTGCCTCTAGTGGTCTTTGCAACTGGCAAGCTCAGAATGTCTCCTTTACAGAAAACCCTAGGGACCTTGTTAACCTCTTAGAAACTGTCCTTTATACTCATCAGTCAACTTGGGACAATTGCTAACAACTCCTCAAAGTCTTATTTACTACTGAGGAATGGAACAGAATCCTGAAAATGTCCCAGAAATTGGTACCAGGACCAACCTCGGAACCTTCCACTGACCCCGCTGTGGCCAACACCAACTTTCCCTCCAATTTCCCAGATTGGGACTATAACACAACGGAAAGTAAGGAGAGGCTCCCAGTCTATCATCAGACTCTGTTAGCACGTCTCCAAGTGGTGGCTTGGAAACCGTCCAACATGTCTAAGGTGTATCATATCAGGCAAGGACATTATGAGAGTCCAGCAGCTTATTTAGAGGGACTTCAGGAAGGCTTCCTCAGATATACTCTTTATGATCCTGAAGCTGAATGAACAGCACAGACAGTTATGTTTGCCTATGTGAACCAGGCAGTGCCTGACATCAAGAAAAATTTACAACCATTAGACAGACTAGGAGAAAAGAACATTAGGGACCTAGTGACAGTGGTAGAAAAGGTATACAATGAGAACCAGCAGAACAAAAAGAAGACAAAAAAGACAGAAAAAGACCTTGCCAAAATTCTAAAACAGCAGCAGAACAGACTAGAAAAGATTCTCCTGGCCACTCAACCTCCCCGTAACACCAGACCTCCATGATGAACCACTGAAGAATAATGGAAGCCTAAACCAAAGGTAGGGAGAAACCAATGTGCGTACTTTAAAGAGGACAGACATTGGGTCAAGGACTGTCCAAAAAAGAACAGATGCCCCAAAAATGCCCAGGTCCTACTGGCATACATTGGGGATAATGACAGAGGAACACAGGGCTCAGGCCCCATCCCTGAGCCCAGGGTAACCGTAAT